CACCGTTCTCACTGTCATCGGGTACCTCACATCAGCACCTACCATTGTGTGCTATTGAACTCGCCACTTGAACTCAACAGCCGAGACAGGACACGCACATATCCATCGTTCTACTTGTCGCGGACCACCCACTACCCCTTAATGGTTCGGGGTTAATAGTCAGGTCACAACTCAACTTATCCTTGCTGAACAGTAGTAGTCTAGACTCCTCGGAGAGTGATTGTTAGAATTTGTGCTTCACTAGATCATTTACCGTCCGAAAGAAATTCTTCGTTTGTAAACTATATGTCTCCAAGTCAGTCGACTTTCCTGTCACTAAGCGTAGTTCTCGGCGTTCCATCTAGTCTGCAGATACAGTATTACACTGTTAAGTTCCTGTAAAGGATGAGGTGAGGGGTTTACCGTCGCTTTCAAGATAATTGCACTTCATGCTCGTGTGTGTGAGTGCGTGCGTGCGTGCGCGCGTTTGTGTGTCTGCTTGTAAAAGTCCGGACTTATGCCGATTTTATAGTACTAGCACACTGAGATACATTGCCGCAGTTTAACATGAATACCCCACTTAGACACAGTATACTGACTCCGAGCCGACCAGCCCTTGTTTTAGACCCTTTAAGCACCAGGCAGGGAAACAACAAGTACCATCTTTTAACGTATTTTGGTATGACGCGGCCGGGGATTGAACCCCGGACTTTCTGCTCTCTCCGGACGGATGCTCCACCACTAGACCACGGAGGCGGCCCACCGTTAAATGAAAGCGTCAACGTCAGAGATGACCAGTCTCGATTATCTGCCGAAACAGATTCCATTTGGCGTAATGGGCAAATTAGTAATGAAAATCATATAAATGGATCACTGAAAATGAGGTGATCACGAAGAAGGTTAGCGTATTCTGCTCTACCGGTAACACCCGTCACTCAAACAATTTTCTACCCGTGAAGATCCGGGGTAGAATAGGTCTTCAACAACCAATGCTTGCCGTAAAAGGCGACTGTGCTTGTCGTAAAAAGCGACGAACGTGATCGGGTGGTCAGGCTCGCTGACTTGGTTGATGCATGTCATCGTATCCCAATTGCGTTGATTGATGCTCATGATGTCAATCACTGGATTGTCTGGTCCAGACTCGATTATTTACAGACCGCCGTCATATAGCTGGAATATTGCTGAGTGCGACGTAAACAACCAAAAAAACAACCAAAAAGCATATAAGATCATGTATTAGATCCATTGCAGAATACACCACACATGGGTATATTATAGGACGCCGCCAAAAAATCAATCGATTTTCATAAAAAAGAGTTTGTTGCCAAATGCTGCAGCCAATTCTGTCAATTATTAAATGTGACTTCCTGACTTGAAAACTTGTCGAAGAATTTTGATGCGTACTGAAAAACATATTCAGTAATATTCTTTTACAACTGACGAACTCATTATAAGTTAAGCATCATCAAATGTTATTGCTTACTATCTCTTTTCTTTTTGTTTTCAGAGAAATTATATTCACCTCGTAACTCCCTTTTGTTCCCTAGAGTCTTCGTCTTAAGTCGGGGTCACGGGTGGCAAAGTCGTCTTAGACGCCGCGATTCGCTGTGCAGAGTTGCACCCCTTGGGCCGCCAGAAACTGGATATAACTGGAATACTGTTTAAAGCGGCGTTAAACCTAACTCACTCACTCGTCTTAAGTCAGTGAGTGTTGTTGGTTTTTAACATGCGGAGTGACACAGGTGTGTCGCCGTCCCTCTCTATATATGAATCTTTGGCGTTACCTTCATATAGTTTAAACATATATTCATAATTAAGATACATGTGACGACTAAATTGCTCTTTACGTAACCTCGAAACTTAAATAAATAATTTCTTTTGGGATATGTGATGTAACATCACTCGTATTTCGCGGGTTATTTTCTTCATATCTCGAATAAATGTGAATAAATAATGCATGTGAGACATGTCTCATGTACATGTACCCGTGTAGAAATATGAGATTATTTGTATGATCCAGTGAAGTGATAGAAAATCGCAGTGCAGTCGTTTATACACACCCTGAAGCTAAAATATCCGTTTTCAAGTTCCAAAACACATGTACAATACTTTTGCAACTCTGAAAATAGTTAGATTTTGTAAGCCCCTTTCTAGAGAATAAAAGCAAAAAAATAATAAATAATCTCAACATATTTTCATTTCAGAGAAGATATTCTAGTTTAATCGTAAGTTGTGCACTGTAGATTGTAAGTATGCACTGTTGGGCTTGCTAATGCACTTAAGCATCATTGTGTGGTTTGAGACAGCCAAGGGTATATACATGTAATTAAATAACATGAATTCCTTATCTGGTGACATACAGGCATGTGTACGACACCCTACGGCATTCACCGTATCAAAGTTCGTACGAGTTAATCACGAATGTCAACAGTACCCTTGAGGAATAACTGAAATTTAACTTCGGTCATTGCGTCGTGAGTGACTGTCAAAACGCTGGAGTCCAAATTGAGTCTGTACTCATCCACAAGCAAACAAACAAAAGGAGCAAAAAAGCTTATCTCAGCTGCAGTTACTGTAACAGGTGATCCGGGGTAGAATAGGTCTTCAGCAACCCATGCTTGCTGTAAAAGGCGACTATGCTTGTCGTAAGTGGCGACTAACGGGATCGGGTGGTCAGGCTCGCTGACTTGGTTTATGCATGTCTTTGTATCCTACTTGCGTGGACCGATGTGCATGACGTCAATCACCGGATTGTCAGGTCCAGACCCGATTATTTACAGATCGCCGTCATATAGCTGGAATATTGCTGAGTGTGGCGTTGAACAACAAACAAAGAAACAAAACTGTAATATGTGTAGTAGATATGGCAGCTGATTTGGAACCCTGGGATTCCGAGTCAGAGTGAGTGAGTATGATTTTACGCCGCTTTATATATCAGCAATATCACGACGGGGGACACCAGAAATGGGCTTTACACATTGTACCCATAATGGGAATCGAACCCGGGTCTTCGGCGTGATGAGCGAACACTTAAACCACTAGGCTACCCTACAGCTCCGGGTTAGAATAGATCCCAGCAACCATTGGTCTTCATTCCATGTTCATGACAGTGACAAAACCGTGTCCATAGCAATAGGTAATCTCATTGTATGATTGTCCATTGTATGATGCCGACGATATCACGAACATGTGTTTATAAATCACTATCAAATAGTGATGACACCAGGTGTTCGTGAACACACTGTAAGTGGCGTTTCCTGCCCCGACGGGATGATGAAGTCATCCCTTGTCTTTTGGTGAGAGTCATGAATCTGGATTATGATACCAGGTGTTCGCGTATCTTGCCCCACAAGTAATGAGTGAGTGAGTTTGGTTTAACGCCGCTTTTAACAGTATTCCAGTTATATCGCGGCGTGTCAGCTTAATGTGGGAGGAAAACCCGAAGTGATGCAGGTCTCAGACGTTTACCACTTCGGTGAAACCCACGAGCACGGGTATGGTGCTGACAAACCTAGAAACATAATCGGGGCGAACCGGGATTCGAACCCACAATCATAGGTTTCTGCCGTGCCCAAGGGACGCAACTCTGCACAGCGAATCGCGGCGCCTTAGACGACTGGGCCACCCGTGCCCCCCATAAGTAATGCCTTGAATGGAGTAACCTAAATGTCACACAATCGTTGACCTTTGACGGATGAACGCATTAATTACAAAGCTAACCCGACGACATCATCAAAGGGACAACAGATTGACCAACTGACCAACGTAATAATTCACGACAAGGTGAACCATCAAGAAACACCAGCCCAATCCCATTCAGTCTATGACCCCACCCCCTCATCACCACCCCCACCACCACCACAACCCCACCTCCCTCCAACACCCCCACACATGAGCCCAACACAACCACTGAGTCATCAATTCCCAGTCACTCATGTTCTCTATCGCTGTGATCAGCTGCTGACTAGAAACAATAACCCTTGGCTATGTCTGCATTGCCTTATCTAACAAAGACATATTGCCTTGTAAGTATCGATGTTCCAACGCCCCAAGGACGTGACGTTGTTATGTTGTTATCTGTCATCAAATCGTTTCAGTTTGACAATAACCCGCTAAGCCTGAAGAGTATCTCCTGATTCCTTGGTGTTTGTATTTCACTCCTAATGTGTCCCTTAACGTATATCTGTATCTGACTAATAAACGAATTCTAGTTACGAACGAATCTGGAAGTTATCTCTGCAGAGATAAAATGGTATGTCACCCACACAATCGCATTCACAGGTTGGGGAAAAAAGTACTGATGGAAAGAATTCGGGAACAATGTCTAGGCTTCATCAGATACCTATCTCGTATCCATACATGTACCAAGGGTCTTCAAGGTGGTCTTCAAATGGTCTTCAAGAATTACTTTCAATAGGTAAGCATTTTATGACGAAATAAATATATATATGTATTGATTAGCAGTTCACTGGTGCAATACCTTTTGTGAATAACGCATGTGGATAATAGGGCCGCGCGTACCACAACATAGATTTTTATTGGTAGAATTGCACATGCCCGAAACGGTGGATGCATTTAAACAGCTCCATATCAAATTAATTATTATATGCTATAAACTTGGGAAATTGGGTTTAACGTCGTGTCCAAGATTATTGCACTTATATAGCGACGTGCATGTACGGACTGATGCCGATTTATAGTGCTAGCTCACTGAGATACCATGCCGCAATTTAACATGAATACCCCACTCAGACTCAGTATACTGACTCTGAGCCGACGAGTCATTGTTTTAGCCCATCAATGCCGAGCGCAACAACAAGTACCATCTTTTAACGTCTTTTGGTATGACACGGCCGGGGATCGAACCCCGGACCTTCCGCTCTCTGGGCGGACGCTCTACTACTAAACCGGAGGCGGTCTGTTATAACCATAATATTCTACACATAATTCAGAGAAGCATGAAATAAACCATTATAATATTGATAATAATAAAGGGTAATAAATAATTAAAAGATAACTACCTCCATGAACAAACGTGGTTGGTGGCTCTGAACACAGGAGGGTGTGTGAGGTTAAACAGCACTGACGGCGTAGAGTAGATGGATAACTGAGAGCTCGGTGAGTTTGACAGACTTTCTTCGGTTTCAACCCTGCCTAACTGTGTATCACACGTTACGAAATATATGGTGTCTCCTAAGCACGTGACTTTGTTCGATTAGCATATCTTCACCCAGCAGGAAATTTATATCCGGTACGTTGACGTAATAATGCGAATAGTATGATATTCCGTCTAACAGTCAGCTAGGGTTGTATGCTCAAAAAGCCGAATATGCCCGCTTGGTGGGGTAATAAAACCATATTCTTACAGCATAGCTTTCCTTGATGTACAGATTCGCACTTTATAAGTAGCCCGGTAGTAGTACTAGGAGTAGCAGTAGCAGCAGCAGCAGCAGTAGTAGTAGTAGTAGTAGTAGTAGTATTGTTTTTAAACTTATTGTTATTATGATGATGATGATGATGATGTACAGATTAAAATAGAAAATGCAGCAAAGAGGGTTTGGGTGATCCTGGCACAGTCAGGCTGGTTAGGCTCATCATCAGCTCAGGGCCCTTGCCCCCTCTACACACAGCCCAGACAGCGAATGGAACTTCCCCCAGGAAGCGTTGCCCAGTCAAACCCACCCAGAAATTTTCGGAGAATGTGAGGACTCCCCAACACTGCAGCCTTCTTCATTACCCAGACTGTCAGAAGGGCTGTATTCCTGGTAGCAAACCCGGGTACTCTCCCAATGTCAGTCAACAGATTGGGACGTACCAAACCTAAGGCACCGTGAACAATGGGGAGTCGGACAACTTGTTACTTGGGATACAAGCGTGACATTTCAAAAGCGAGGTCCGCATATTTGCCATGTTTTCCTCAATGTTGTCAATCATAGTAGTGTCAAAGAGAACAGAAAATTCAATGATATAAATGATTTCATTGGATTTATCAAAAAGGACAAGATCAGGTTTGTTGGCCTGGATACGTCTGAGGCTGTATACGGGCCTATTCCAAAGGATTTTGTATTTATCATTTTCCATGACGCCCTATGATTATTCCGGGTCGTACCATGGGTGGACCTCTGTGTCAAAACCAGAAGCATGGCGAAGACGGTAATAAAATGATCGAGCTACACCATCATGTCGTTTAAGATACTGTGTCTGTGCCAAAGCTGGGCATCAACTCACAATGTGTTGGACAGTCTCATTAAATTCATTACATAATCTACATTTCATATTCACATTTTGATGCAGAATCACACATTGACTGTATGGAGTTGGAAGTGACTGGTCCTGAGCAGCAAACAGAAAGCCTTCAGTTTCACTTTTCAGGCCAGACAACTTCATCTAAGTGAAGGACTCTGCAGGATTGCTGATCGTCTCAACACACTGCACATAAACTCGATACAATGGTCGTTCAAAAAGCCTCTCCTTGAAACACTGAGTCTGGGCCGATTTAATATGGCACTTCGCTTGGTTGACACTCATTTCTGTACCGTCCAGCAATACAGAACCATCAACAAAATCAACACCGACATTGATATTATGTCTCCCATCCTTGGCTCGTTGTAGAAAACTGTGGAATGCTTTCTTTTCATCATGAGTCTTGACATGCTTCACAAGAGGATCATCAGACAAATAAATGTGTGCAAAAGTGCACAAAACAGTTCTATCATGAAGAGCTTCCGCATTAATCAAACCACGCCCTCCCGTCATTATTGGTAAATATAAGCGGTTGAGGGAAGAGCGAGGGTGGTGGGATCTATTATCTGACATGATTCTTCGCGTGAGGGTGTCAATACCCTGAATTTCTTGTTTCGTCCAATCAACAACACCAAAAGAATACGGAAGGGCGGGCACAGCCTAAGTATTTGTGGCTTTTACTTTATTGCGAGCGTTTCAGCTCTGAACTCCAGATTTTCTTTAGTCTACATTTGTACTCTGCTCCTTGATGTGGGCATTCTGGAGTTTGTCCCTTTTCTGCATCCCTAAGTACGTATAGGCCTGAACTTCCACGAGATGGTCAATAACTCCTCCTCCATGTTAACTGACTGATCCTCCCTCTTCTACCTAGCCACGTTTCAACTGAAGAATGTTGCATTTGTCGAGTCCTAAGGATATGCCGATATCATTAGAAAAGGACTCGACAAGCAATCTGTCTTTTGGGTGTGGATCCTCCATTGGCAATAAGTTCAAGGTCATCAATGTCAAGGGGGTGTTGTGGGTCTGTGCTTAGGAGGTCCCGGCCGGTGATAACCTTCCTCTTTGCTGAACAAAAAGCTTAAAGGATTTAGTGACCAACAGAAAAGCAAAGGGCTAAAAGAACCGCCCTGAAATATTCCTCTTCTGATGGAAATGGGTTCCAAAGTCACCACCTGCCCCTGCAAACACGTCTCAAGTTGAGGTGACCAGCAATTCATTAAAGACTTGAGTAAAACAAGTAGTCGCTCGGGGAAGTCAATACATTCCAGTGACCTCAAAATCCTTTCGTGAGGTACAGAATCAAAAGCTTTTGCTGTAGTCTATCCAACACATTGAGAGGTTACGGTTCAGAAAATGATCATTGAAGAGGCTAACCTCTTCAAGGATCATTTTCTGAACAAGTAGTTGATCCTTACAACCCCAACATCCCTTTCTGGCTCCTTTCTGCTCCATGTAAATAATGTAATTGGATGCGCAGTATCATGACACATGTCTGTAAGACATCCTGTAAATATTTTGTATTATATATTCAGACAAGTAATAGGGCGGAAGTTTTGGGGATCAGTCAAATCACCTTTCTTTGGGAGAAGTATTGTTCGACCCTTGCACAACCAAGGTGGAACATCCCCTGTATCTACAAGAGAATTAAAACAGTGAAGTAATGGTGTTTGGACACAAGGAAACCGTTTCCAAAACCAGTGACGAATACCATCAGGTCCTGGCGCCGTATTAGATTTGGACTTTTTAATAACATTTTTCAGGCAATCAGGTGTAATGAAACACAACAATGGTGATTTTATTTTTTTCGTGTACACAATCATTATATTCCTCTACCCATGGTTCCTCGAGGTTACAGATGCCGGGTATAGACCACAACTGTTTCCAAAACCTTTCACTGGAATCCATGGTGGTTCTTTTTTCATCACTGCCATTGGATGTATTTAGTTGCCTGTAAAATTGTTTTTCATTAGATTTAAACAATTTGTTTTGTCTGATGAAATTATTTTTCTTGTCCCTCTTTCTTTTTCTTTCTGTCCAAACCTTTAATTTTGAATGTGATTAAGAATCTTCTCTTTTGTTGTCGTGTATTTTGTTTTTAAAGTTTTCCAAATTTATTTTGCCGTTTTGACATTGATTGCCCTGAGGAACGTAATTTTAGGCAAAGTTCTATCCAGGATATGTCTTTACTTGTTTCATTTAGTTTCATTTGGAAACGTTTTTTCTTGTGAAGATTTTGTTTATTACCCTTTTGTGGTTCATTGTCTTTCGAAACTGTATGGAGTTCCTCCAGTGTTCGAGTAGCAGCATACACGCAACAGTTAATGTCTTGCAGAGAACAGTCCGCATTGAGAGTGACAGTAATAATTTAATTTATCACTTTCATTCTGTGGAAATGATTTATTAAAATGTTTAATTGGCCTCCGTTTCTCAATCGGTAAATCAAAGATTTGATTATAGAATGACATAAACAAAATATACAAAGGATCATTAGTAAGATCATTGACAAAAGAGGGGTCGGAGGCGGGAGAAAACAAAATCTTCGAGGAAAATCAGGAATTTCATTTTGTGAGCCCATGTGTGGGTCATCAGTGACAATTTCATCAGGTAATTTAGGAAGAATAATGCGAACGTTCATTTGCAATTTCGGGTCTGCTACTGTTGGAACTGACGGTTCATGCAAAGACGCCTGACGAGTGTTGGCTATTAACCCACCAGGTTCACGGCGCAAGTATAATTTTAGTCGCCGAACCGGTCACGGGGGTTTTGTTCTGTGATAAGTGCATACATTGGGATGGCTTTGTCCCAATGCCGCTTCAACAATTTGCCATTTACTCGTGCTTTTTCTGGCCACCCTGCTGCTTTCGCACACTCAAAAAGTGTTGACTTCAGTTGTTGCGTCCAAGATGTTCTTGGGCGGGTTCTGTGCCTCCCCCTGGGACAAGTCCCATCTCCAGATTGGTTTGTTTGTATATCGGAGGGAGGCTGACTGTGCTGCAGAGTGGTAAATTGAATGTATTTTTTTTTTGCTTTCTGTAACCCAGTTTTGAACCAGTTTCGGTGGGTTAACCCTAACTGGGTGATGTAGGTTTAGTTCAGGGGAATAAATCCTCCCTATCTAGGCCACCAACAGAGAGGAGTTCATCATCAGGCCCTTATTATCATTATTATTATTATTATTATTTTAATTGTTAATTAATAATTCATAAACACTTCTAAGACTTAGTATAAGGATAAAATTCCCACAAAATCTAACATTAACAATCTAATTATTACACACAAAAATATGTTTTATGAATTTTTAGCATCATCCAAAAATGTGTAAAAAATGTCGCAAAAATGTCCTATGTGTGGTCACTGTTGTAAATACAAATCTATTTGTTGTCATCTGACACTGCAGACCGCCATACCAAGTCACGTAAGCTTGTGCAGTTTCTTTTGAAAGAATGCTCGGCGTGAGAACAATCAATACGTGTTCAGCTTCTAACCGTCTTCTGAATATATTTCAGTGACATGACGTCGACCTGTGGTATGCTTGAAATATAGCCTAGGGCTGCAGAGCCAGTGAACAAGTGTGGGGTCAACAAGCCGTGCCGTGGGGGTAAGATGACACACCGTTGCAACCAGGTCATGACGCCCTAACAGTCATAGCGTGCGTTAAGTAACTGTAGGGGTACAACAGATAACGCCTTGACAGATATGCCCTACTCCGGGTAACACACATACAGTCGCATCACGACAAAGTAGGTTCTAACAAATATACCCTGCTCTAGGTAATACACATGCAGTCTGGACACGAGAGTAGGCTTTTATTATATATTCGGTGTGGAAGACTGAGTTTTTCGAAGTTGAGAAAAGTAATATGTACATTGCAGTGAACGAAGATAACACTTG